CCGAGATGTTTTGGCCACAACCCAGATTGGCCACGACCGAGATGTCTTGGCCACACCCTAGATTGGGCACTGCCCAGAAGTCGCATGGCGGGGCGTGGAGGGGCCGCCCTGCACAATTCAGAGGGATGGAGGCCAAAGAAGAAAAAGGAAAGAAAAAGAGAAAAGAAAAAAAGAAAAGAAACGAGGAACTATGACTGCACCTAGGTGGAAGTTACACCAGTGCTTTAAGGAACGTATCTGGCCAGTATGTGAGGACCGTGAGACATGTTATTTCCTTTGTTTGCTTTTTGTTGTGAGGTCCTTGTAGCGCCCTGCCAGCCAGGCAGGGCGGATTTCACACGAGGCAGCTGGCTTCATTCAGTTCCAGACAAATACTGCAGCATCCTGTATCGGACCACAATCACAGCATGAGGGGTGCTTTTGTTTTTCTTTTTTTTTATTATCTGCTGTTCGTGGATAGACGAGGGCCCTGACTGAAATGCTACCTAAAGGCAGGTCGATTTTCAACTGCAAGTGAAACTTGGCCCCTGACTAAAGTGCGAAATCAGTGTTTCGAATGCAATTACAAACTATTTTCGTGACTGCGCCGAAGTTACCCCTTGAGGTAAATTTGGGCAACTATCCCCCAGCGAAAATCCTAGCAATTGTCTTCAAACACTCTAAAGCGCTGGAGGGTCCTTACACACCCTTGAAGTCCTCAGATACTGTCTTATTCCCTACCAAGCTCTCCCAGGCCTCTCACCCCCGTTATAGGTTACAGGGCAAAGCAACTCACCCCGGCTCCGGCCAGCATCGTCTTCAATAGGAACCCCGGATTGCCACATGAAATGCCCCCCCCTAGGCATTCCCAGATCTCTCTACCCGGCCTCAAGCTCCTGCTGTCAACAAGTTACAGGGTCAACACCCCAGCACCGGCCAGCGTCGTTCCGAACAACTGCACGTCCATGAATTAAACAACATGAAAAACTGCCTCAAGGAAATTGCAAGGAGTCAAGAGCCTAAAAACTTTCTACCACAACCACCGGGAACAATCACAACCACTAGAGGATAGCCGTATCCGAATACATTGCCCATTACTTTTTTAACGAGATAGGACATGAATGACACGCAACAAAATTGAAAGCAAAAGATCCGAACATAAAACACCGACTAGCAAACTTCCATGTAACAGTTGGAAAAGAACAAAGTCCCTGTGATCAGTCCTCGAACCTAAACGCGGCCGATCTCATAACCCCCTATGCTAGGGTTACAGGGCACCACCATGCCCCGGTACCGACCAGCCTGGTATGGTATAGATGGCTATGAGTGCCTTCCTCCCTCGACAGCTCCCATGAGCGGCATGCCCCTAGGTGACAGGGATAAAACCCCGGCAACGCCTGCGTCGAACGTGGTGGTTCTGCCTTCCTCCCTCGAAAGAGTTCCCCAAGCCTCACTCTCCCCCAGGTTGCAGAGCAACGCTCCAGCACCGGCCTGCGTCAAAAGCAAAGATCTTTTATATATATATATATATATATATATATATATATATATATATATATATATATATATATATATATATATATATATATATTTAAAACAAAGCTCCATCTATTGGTGGGGAGCAACACCTGCTGGAAACTGGGTCCAGCGTCCCATAGATACAACCATATCCTCACAAAGTGGCACGGACTGGGAACCGGGCCCAGTGTCCCATAACGAGTACATTCAGAAACCTCGTTATACAATTTCCTGAAAATGAGACTAGGAACCTATTAGAAAAATCCAATTGGCCTAAGAATAGAATTTTGAAAATTGAGATACCGGGGCCATTACCCGGCTTTGGCTTAGAGAATGTCTATGACAACTTCATGATTAAAAAACGACTCAGAAGAACCCCCATCAATCCACTTTACCTCCCTCCTGCAAGACTGATTGCAGCGGAGCCACCATCTCTGCTGCTGCTATACCATACTCCCATCCTACCAGCTAGCCCCCTCACTGGTAAGGACGTGTGGTAACCCACCATCTTCTCCCACTCTCCTTATTCTCTTCGTGTGTCATTACCATTTTTGTACAGAAATAGGCAAACTTCAGAAGACAACTTAGAAACCCCCCTTCAATCCTCTTTACCTCCCTCCGACGAGACTTACTACAGCGGAGCCACCATCTCCACTGCTGCTGTACCCTATTTCCATCCTACAAGCTAACCCCCTCACTAATAGGACGCTTGATATCCAACCATCTACTTATTCCACTCACCCCTTTTCTGAGAATATTCAAGAAAATGTCAAGAAATTAAGAAAAAGAAAATTAGGGAAACGAAAATCAGAGCTGAAACCTCCACCTTTTTTTGGGACCCACCATCAGTCCTCTTTTACCTCACTCCGGCAAGACTTACTGCAGCAAAGCCACCATCTCCGCTGCTGCTATGCCCTATTTCCGTCCTACCAGCTAGCCCCTTCACTAGTAGGACGCGTGGTATCTTTCCCTCGCTCACCTCAATCCCTTTCTTGCAGTACCGGGGCCATTACCCGGCTTTGGTTGAAAACCCTCTGAGAAAACTTACAGTAATTCGGGAGGAATGGTAACAGACTGCAGAGGTCCTACTAATGCCCCAAGACCCACAAAATCCCTGACAAAACCTTCCCAAGTTCTCCAACACTGTCTTACTCCCTACTGAACTCTTCCAGGCCTCACCCCCTCATCCTGCTGGGTTACAGGGCAACACAACTCACCCCAGCTCCGGTCAGCGTCATCCCAGCAGCAACCCTTGGGTGTCCCGTGGAGTGCCCACTCCAAAGCACCCCCACATCTCTCTACCAGGCCGCATGCTCCTGCATAGCAGGTTACAGGGCAACACCCCAGCACCGGTCAGCGTCGTTCTGGCATCGAACAGCCGCAGGTCACCGAGTATAACAGCCTCGAAACTACCTGAAAAAGAGTTCAAAATTGTAAGGAATCCCCAGAATCCAGAAGACATTTTTAGGACAAAACAGCCATCCGCGTATGGCCCACCCCCCTTTTTTAAGAACAGATTGCAACGTTTCTTTTTTTGAAATAAAATATTCAGAAGCAAAAGAGAAAGGATACGAGGGCAAACGATCAGGAAAGACTAGGACCTGCTAAGCAAAAGAAGGGAAGGTGGAGGCCGTCAGTCCTCGTACAAAAACGCGGCGGATCTCAAACCCCCTCGTGCTAGGGTGACAGGGCACCACCGCTACCCCAAAACCGATCCACCTTGTTCTCATGGAAAGAAGTGTCTTCCACCCTCGACTACTCAAAAGTCATAAAGCCCCACAGTTACACGGGAACACCCCCGGCAATGACTTCATTGAACCCACTAGTTATGCCACACAAACAGGCATAACTCCCCAGGCCTCAAGCTCCTACCCAGGTTACAGAGCCTCAACTCCAGCACCGGCCTGCGTTGTCCCAGCAAAATCCTTCTGACCTACCAGCCAAAACCAACCATCCAACTACATAGCAGATCCAGTCCACCCTAAGCCTTCTGAACAAATCGACTCAAAACTGAATAGCAGCGCGATCAGAAAATTCATCAATACAAAGAAGATGAAAATCGAGAGATCACTAAGACTTATTACCGGTAAAAACTAATGAGCATCAAACTCC